GATCCATCTTATCGTGGGCAAACAGGCTCAAACATTGGTGTTTCGACTGTTGGATTAAGATCGAATAAATACAATATACCTGAATGGCATGACAATAATTATTCAAAATATTATCAGGCATTTACGGATCGTGATGTATCCGAAAAATCAAGATGGGAAGCAACTCGAACAGAACATGAAACAGTTGCATTGACAAATCAAACACAAGGCATATCAACAAAAAAGTTGCAGCAACGGTATATTATACAATAGTAAGATACATAAATGTAATTAATTATTGCGATCCTGTTTTCTAGTTTACATGATATTAATTTTTGGAAATTTGAGTTAAATCGTATGATTGAAGACGTTCGAAATGAAACTGATTTATTGGTAGCACAAAAAAAACGTTTAACAAATTCATTGGATGCCACTGAAGCACCACTTCATATTGCCAGTGAATGTTTAGCGAATCGAAATCGTCGATACGGAGAAGATCGTGTTTATGATCCCGTCGAAGTTGCACTATTAAAAGTTTGTAAAATAATTAAGACAAATAATGGCAAAAACTAATCATGTTTACTATTCAGGAGGTGGAAATCATCAATAATGTACAAAATTTGCTTCGTCAAACAACAATGACTGCCGAACAACAAATTAGGTAGATGCAATCATTGAAAATAATCCGCAATATCTTAGCTCTATGAGGGATATTGTTTTTGTAGAGCCAATCGCAATGCAAAACAAAATCTCGAAATGGATTGGAGTAATAAATATGAAGCATCAGTGGCTGATGCTAAAGCAACAAATCGTCGTAATGAAGATGTTGATATTATGTATTATCCTGGTGTGGCTAGACATTATGATAAGTAAGTACTTAGATTGTATGCGCAAGTTTCTTAACTCTTTGACCATTTTGATTTAGTCAATCTACACCAGAATCATGGGCACAAAATTCTCATGATAACATTGTAAATGCTCAGAATCAACTTATGGCGTCAATTCAGTTGCGAGCATTAGTTGACAGTGTACTAGCTGATATTTCGAAAGATATGCGCGAACAAGCAGATGTGGTGGAGACAGAATTTGCACGACGAATTGCAGAAATGAGTGATGCTATGCAAAAAATGACATATAATATGAGAGAGGTTTGTTAATGTTATTTCTTGAAAACTTTTTGTTGATATTCGTCAATTTTAGACTCTAAAAGCAATTGCTCAAGTAGAAAAGAAAATTGATGAATTAAGTGCATCGATACGTTCGAAAGAAGCACCATTAAAAGTAGCACAAACACGTTTGAATGATCGTCGTGCACGACCCGGTATTGAGAGTTGCCATGATCCTGCACAAGATCAGTAAGTATAACTAATACTCTAGCTGAATATATACTACTGCACTTATGGAACAATAAAGCCTTGTGAATTATCTTTTGACGTTTAGTAAAGTTCGTTTTCTAATATTATTCAATAATTTGTTTAGTTTGGTAGGTGAAGTATTACAAATGTCACAATCTGTCGAAAGTTTAACTGGTCAACTACGTGAAGCGGAAAGTAATTTGAAAAAATTACGTGATGATCATCAAATGTTAGTGAAAGAAATTGAAATGAAAAAAAATAGTTTATATATTGATCAACAAAAATCAATGTCAATACGTATGCGATATCCAAGTGTACAACGCCTAATGGGTTACAATGCATAGGACAAAAATGCAATTTAATTTAACAGTATTATAGGTTCACTTTTGGCTTTCATTTCCACTACACACATATTTTCGTCTACTTATTTATTAGCACTACAAACTTTTGCTTTCTGAGAAGTCACTAATTGTAATAAACTAAAGGAGATATACTTAAACCATTGACATGCTAATAAAAGGTGCTTGTGATTCATTAGTAAAGGTAGCAGCTATATATTTAAATAGATTTTTTTTAATGTTCAGGATCTTATGTAAAAGATAATAACCACCTTCTAAAAAAATGCAATTAAAATCATAATTATTTTCCTGTCTTAAGAAAAACTGTCTTTCCCTATACACTGATTCTTCTATATTTCGTATATATTGGCGAGACTATTCGAGCATAGCAGTTGGCGACACAATATGGAATAATACAAGTTCTACATAAACAGTATTTGTCTTGAAAAGTTTGTGCATGTTAACGACCTCTATATTGTAGAATGATGAATATTTCGGGATTTATAGCAAGATCGAAGAAAATGATATCACATTTAGTCATTGTTTAAGTCCAAAATTTTAACCCAATAAATGTATAACACTAAAAACCGGAAAATTTTGACAGATTCCAATATAGACACTTTGTACACTAATGTATATAACGCTTTACGAAATCTAGTGCGTACATTATCTTCAACACCAAGTGAATTCAAAATTATGAGAGTTAATAGTATATTTCTTCACTATATCTCACAAGGATCGTCGGACTATTCTGTCGTTAGTGTATTGATGCTCTGTCATCTACTAGCATTTTACTCATTTTGATTTTAAAATCAATAAATTATATAGTACTTTTAGTGATTCATTCAAGGACAGTAGAGGTATTAATTTTGCTTCAGTCAAAACTTTTCATAAGGTACCATATAGAGTCTTAATTAGTATATTATAAGTTATTGTGAACGGTAGTGAATGTATTAAATTGATTTACGTCTTATTTGGAAAATAATTACGAACCAGTTAAAGTCGATCTCCTAAGTTCTGGTTTCATTATTTCAGAGTGGTTAAAGCTTCATCTTGGGGCCTCTTATCATAAAGAAGCATGACGTAACGGTTATATCACTCGTCACATGTTTCAAAATTTTGGGTCCAAGCTTCAACGCCGACAGATCATGAGCTGATTTTGGACAAGTTACTTATGTTCAAAAAGCTCTAGAACAGAAGGTCATGGCTTTCTATTATGGTTTCACTTTCGAACATTTTGTTCGAAAAAATCATTCTTATTGATTTTGAAAATATTTCGTCCCAAACTGACCTTCTAATCTGGAAAGGATTTACCTTAGATCATCCGACTACCAGCATATTCAAATTATAAGTTGCGTTTGTTACACAGCTCATCAGCTAAATACCAGAACGATCGTTTCGGAGCTGTAAATTTAGTACGACCTTATTTGTTCTGGCGCTCCTGCAGTAAATGGAAATACACTGCCGCTGCCCGATATTAGATATTGATGACTGAACTGTAATCCGTTCTTTGATGTTGATTTAATCAGCTGAGACGTGTTTACAGAACTTGTTAAACAGATAATGTAACTAGCGTGGATAAAAGTGAATGAAAAGGTAATAATAAAGCTGGAAGCTTTTTTCCGATGTATAATCCTGTCTTATCAATTTCTTATACATAGCCATAATAGCAGCTCGGTACGTTGAAAAACCCATAGATGTTCTTGACAGACGAAGCATCTGTCCGATCAAAATGTCTAGTTTGGGCGAAATTTCTTTCTAAATCCGAATAGTTAACTATGTCAAATCCAAACTTACTGCGTTTGTCATACGGCTTTAATTTAATCTGCTTTTGAACTATTTCCATTTCAAAATCTAGAAAGGTAGCCTTCTGGTTGTTCGGGTTTCAACGATTCATCGTTAACTACTGTAGATAAATAGAGTACTGATGTTGATCGAACTTGCCATCAGAATTGATTGTGATCAGATCATCGATATACCAAAAAGTATTGTTTAATGATCTACAAGTCCCACAGAACGTTTGGGCATTTTGTTCGCCTCGTCTACCGTTAACTCTGGATAAAATTTTCCTCTGGCACTTCCTCATCGATCCTTCTGAGTCCGAAAAATCTCTGCTAACATAAACTATTCATTGTTTTATCTTGGTTCGCAAGAAGAACCATCATCTTTATTATAAAAATAGATCAAAATAAACATAACATCTTTCGCTCACAAGCAAAAATGTTTTCCGCAAGGTACGTGTCGTGAAGTTCTAGCCTCGTCAAGCTTTCAAAAAATCTTCCTCGCAGAGTCCGCACCGTAAAGAATCGTGAACCTCGCGAGAATCCTCGTCCATCGCCCGCTTCTGCTATGCACAGTCACTATCAAGAATCTGGACTTGCAGTTTGTTTGTCGTTCTGCTATTCTACATTCATTTGATAAAAAATTTATAAGAATTGTTTTACAAAGCTGTATACCGTTTCGAAAGAGTTGTCAGAAATTTGGGCATAAAAAAATACTTTTTTACAATTTTCGATCATATAATCATAGTTAGCGGCAACAACATTAATAATATTCTTTGCTGGTCGTCCTGCAGATTGGCATCACAGGCGACAGCCCCTAGCGACTAAAACTAAACCAGACTCACGGTGCTTTCTAATGGTAAAAAAATGTTTCACGTAGGTTATTAGACTTGCCTGAAAAACACAAAATATAAGCGTCACAGCGTTACGCACTATTTTGTCAAGCATATTTGAGGCACTTAACACGATGATAAAGTTTGGATTTTCACAACTTCCTGTGTTCTTTGTATATTTGATCGATCTGCACAAAAATCAAGTTGCTGTATCAAAATAAGAGCTCAGAAACTGGACAGTAAGTCGGAAACTGTACAACTATGTACAAATTGTACATAGCAAGAAAAGTCAAAAACAAATACGCGATGTTTTAGAGAATTCAATTCTCTACAAAAGTATATTTTTACAAATGTGTTTTAAAAATCAAGAAAAAACTTTAGTTACCCAGCAGACTCTCGACCATCCACCAAAACTTCTACCAAAAACGCTGGTTGCTTTCGACCTATGGTGAAACCTCTGTTCCATGTCGATAAGCGATGTTTGTCTCTGAATTAAAATCATTTGAAGATATTCTGATAAGTTCTTGTTAGACAGAGCATGAGATTCAAATTTGTGAACATGGCAAATTGCTAAGCTTAACCGGCGAGATCTTTATTTGTCAAAAAGAACAAATTTGTCAAAACAAAAAGAAAAAACAAAGAATTTCTGACTTAATCAAACGTTGTTTTACAAAAAGTTTGTATAGATAAAATAGTTTGTTTAACGAACATTTACATGTCCATTTGATTGAATAAATAATCGTTGTGATAAACTATCTGGTACATTTTGTATTTGTGTAAAATTATGTCTAGATAAAAATGGTATTATTTTTTCGTTATCACGTTGTTGTTGCTGTTGAATTTCTAAAGCATTAAAAAATGATAAAGTTTTCAACACAAAACCCTGTAAAAAGATATTCTCTTCGCACCTAAACTATATTTCTGTACATATTATCACCAGTTTTCATGCTGCTGTTTATCTCGCAAATCATCTTCTAAATTAAATGCATATATATTAGTACCTGTCAGGTTTCCTGTTTGTACAGTTGGTATTTGTGCGTATGTATAACCAGATGGGAGAGTTTGCCCTTGCAATGGAGATGTATAAGAACAATATGTTCCATTTGCATCACTTGTTAACGACGATGTTAACGGTGTGGCATATGTTAATTCATAGTACGGTGTAGGGCCTGTTGCTTGTTGTGTTTGACCAGCTTGAGTTAATGTAGTTGTTTGATTTGGAAGTACGAGACTTTGTGTAGCAGACACTAAGGTTGGTGTCTGTTGATAATAGATCGGTTGTATGCTATAAAAATTATAGGGAACTTTGAAAAAACTATGTTCATTTTATCGTAAAAAAAATAATCAAGCAAAATAAAAGAGACTCTAAATTTCAGTTTTCTATCTGATCGTTGAAATGAAAATATATATGCACTATGCTATAGATGTTAATTCTAAGACTCAGTGAAGATTCACAAAGTTCAACTTTGAAGATCTATGAAGAGTACGAATACATTCCCATATTCAGAAGCTTTCTTTTAACTTCTTTAATACAGTATTTTGTATCACTGTATGCTCAATACATGATGCTATCTTGGCCTCCATAACGTTTAAAAATTTTGATTAAGATATTAAGTTTGATATGATATAGCAAACGTCTTTATCTGGAAGATAGATAGTAAATTAATGAATAGTTATTTTCATCAATTAGTCGATCAGTGTATATATTCCACATAGGGTGATAGAATCGAATAGTGTGTGTTTGTGTGTAACCTTTACTCAACTTTGCAGGCTACCTTATAATTATCCTTACTTGGATAATAAGAAACATAACTGCTCTTCTCAACCATCATGCATATCCGCTGCTGAGAACAACGTAATGAAATTAACTGTCATTACATCATATTCTCATTGAACAGAAGCGAACGGAAATGCAGAATATATTAATAGAAAGAGGAGAGTCAAGCTTCAGAGTTCAAACCAAACAAAACCAAACAGCAATAAAAAAAGAGGACATAAGCGTTAATCTGAAGATTGTACATTCCCTTGTCGGAGAAAAAGGGTTTTCTCAGTATTTTTCCTTATCAGATAAAAAAGAAAAGAAACGCTGTCACAAACAACAACACAAACTCCATCACATCAAAAAAGTAACGTTATCCCGTAATATTAGTGAAAGAATGTAGTAGAAGTACAAATAGTGCAAGACAAACAATTCACAATATTTAAAACTAAAAAAAATGTTCATTTTCTCTGCAGAGTCAAAGCGCGGGTTATTTTCTTCCCTCAAACAATCTAGCAGCAGCATCGAAATGCAGTTCTAGAATCATCCAAGTTTCAAATGTGTTAATATATATCAACAACAACCACAAAACAAAACAAAACCACAAAAAAGCTAATCATTAATTATCAGGTAGATAGTTTTGACATAGCACGAAGATAAATGTATATACGAGTTAAAACACAAAAACCAAAACACTAACAGCAACAACAACACATTGGCAATTTACCAAGTGCAATGAAAAGGTGGATTTTTATTATTCTCATTAATCTATAATTCTAAAGAAAAAACGCTAAAAATAACATAATTGCTTAGTTTTATTGTAAGAAGACTTAAATTAAACCAACCAATAGTTCAGTGTATTTTTAATTTGAGACAAGAACTTTTACACTAGTACAGTAGAGTATATCAGTTCAATTGATCATGTTTTCTTTTCTTAAATTTACACTGAATTTTTTCATTATGTTTCAGATAAGAATACGGTACGAATAACATCAATATAATTGAAAATCGTGTCGACATCTTTTGTCTATCAAACTCTCATGTTTAGACACTAGTGAAAGTTAATTTTGATTTCGCCGCAGGGAGCTTGTTAAATTAAAGATATGCTACTACTGTTTGTTATAGAAGATGTAAAATACAATCATCCCTGTTGAATACAACAAATAAACTTACCCATAGGTAGCCGGTAAGGCAGCCGAATACGCACCAGCTAAATGTAAAGGTATCAATCCTAAAAAAGATTAAAAAAAGAAGTTTAAATTTCAAAAATATGCTTTTATTATATCGTTGACAGTAGAAATTTTATTTCTCATCAACCATATCTTAATCACTTGCAACAAGTAAAAAATATTATCGTAATTATTGTTACTTTCAAGAATGAATACCACCAGCCCTTCTACCTTCGACTACAACAATTCATTTTATTTTTCAATTTTTGCTTATTATGACGGATCTATATATTTTCGAATATTCTCTACACGATAAATACACTTTAATAATTATCTGATGAACGTAGGAGCCCAGATACACTTTCAAGAACTTCAATATTGTCTATAAGATTCTATTGCAATAAGAGATAGTGAAGACAATAATATAGCTTCGTTCTCAATCGTAAAAAGTTTTACTACTCTACGAACAATCATTTTTGAGAAGCATTTCAACAAGAAAGATTGCCTTTAAGAGTTAATCCAATAAAAAAAAGGATCCATTATATTCACTAAGATCATTAACACAAACTCATTCTTGCCATGATAAAAGTTTATTAGAACTTGTCGATCAAAGTACTTGATTCCTCAAAGAATATTAACCATTTGTTTTGTGTTATGCTTTCCACTCGATAAATTCATCTCATCGTATAATAAGCAGATGCAAGAAATACAGAACACTCATATACATAAGAATTTTATATATACCGCACGGAAAAATTAATACTAGTGACCCATTTATATTTAGAGTAGTATAATGTTAAAAGCTTAAAACTTTAGAAACATAATATTTAAGAAGCTTGTCATCTAGCTTCGCACTAAAATGTCATCGATCAACTTGTCTTTACTTCCTCATCATAATTTTAAGAGTTATAGAAAAAAAAATTTTGTAATTATATATGCATGATATACGATTAGAGTTTAGTGAATGAATAAATAATAGTAAAAAAAAAAATGGAAACAACACATGTTTATGGTATACTGTCGTTTTTCTCTGTAAATATGTTTACTGACAATCTATTTTGAAAGAAATTCAATCATTTTCTTCTTACACGCATAAATGAATCTCTTATTGTTTATATACACATAGAATTCATTATAATTATGCAATGACAGAGAGTTCCAATTATAAATAAACAGAATGCGAAAGAGAACATTTCAACGCCTCTAGTAATATGAGTTCATATATACACAAACATAAAAAATAGTATATACAATTCAGTATACAAAACAGAGAAAAGAACAGCTAATTGATTTTTGAGAAAAGATAACAAAAGCAAAAAAAAAAACCTATGAGTATATTTGATCACTTCCATACATTAATAGAATGATTTGATCTCACATGCATATTTTTTTTACTAATGTTATTTTGGTGTATCCATTTTCTTTTTATCCACTCATCTGTGCATAATTCACCAGTGCAATAGTGTGTCTTTGCAAAAAAATAGATTTTTATTCTCAATTATGCAGATATGACCAAGTAGAAGCAAATAAAGTACAGGAAAATTTATTTCTAATTTTGCTTCAAGTATTTTGATAACTCTCTAAGAACAATTAAACGTACAGTTAACGTGATCACAGCAGTAAAATGCAGATGGTAGAACATCTTTAACATTTGTTTTATTTTTTTTATAGAAGAAAATATAGTTTTGATACTATACTCGAATTATATGTGTTCATCGGAAATTAAAGATTAAACGTGTGTTGACTTATAGTGTTTGCTAATAAAGAATCAAATTTCCTATGTTTTTCTTATTTCAAAAAATGCAATGTATGTCTGTATGTGTACGTGTAAATGAAAATATAAGGTTGAAACTATCGTTTTTAATAACAAAAAGCACGTCTTCTATGCTCATTGTTTTGAAACAGATTCATTATATTTTAAATTTCAAGAAAAAGACCGGTAGAGCACGGCACATAACAATAATAACAAATTATAAACCCAATATAAAATATGATGTTTTGTGAGTGTTATTATCAATCACATTAATGAAACTATTGTAAATGTTTTAGACAAATCGATATAGTTTGAGTATTACCCGTACATAAAACTTACTCATTCTAGGCAAAATAAATGAAGGACTCTATTAACGGGTGAAAAGTTATTTGTACACCCATCTAAAAAACAAATAGTTTTTATCTACCTGCAGGAGATGGTATAATCCTTGGTTTTGCACCCAAATAAGCTAAATTGACATTGGCTTTTCGACCATCAATAACCGGATTAGGATCTTTCGTTGCTTCGCCAGCTGCTTCTTTTGTAACCATTGTGACCTGAATAAAATGACTAAACTTTTTTCAGTTCGAATAACACTGAGTATAATTCAATCAGTCTCTTTTTCTCATATATAACTAAAGATGAGAATCTAATGGGTAGAACGATTACTGTTAATGCCAGTAGCTAATCAACACTAGAACTATCGATTATCATAGTTGTTAAACATGTCGATATCATTTTTTCAATAACATTCTTCTCCTTCGCCCCCCCCCCCTTCATTCCATCTAAAGTTATTTAAATTTTACTAAAGAACCGATCGTCGAGTTCGTCATATTGTTTTTATTTTTTATTTTACACACATACTTGAACCTAGTCCTACTTCTCGTTACCTCGATTGTTTCTATTATTCTCACTTAATGAAAAGAAAATAAATAATATGTTTATCAAACAATAAAAATACTTGGCGGATATCGTTCATCAAAAGTTCTTTTCATATTTTTTATACGATTTCTTTGTTTGAAAAAACAAAAATGATACTAACATCATGTAAGAATCACTCAACAATACACAAAGTCCAGCTGTTATCGATAAGTTCATACTGATAAGCCTTGAAAACAAAATATATGACGGCATATCTTATGAAATCAGAATGATTTTCTTTTTTTTGATCAATGGCATCCGTTCTTCCATCTTAATAATCGATCATCTATATTGTTGACGTTAGCAGATAACCATTAAACTCAACTACTGTACATTCTGTTTCTTTCAAAAAAAAACATTATAAAATGACTATACAACAGATATCTTAAGCTATTAAGATTAAAGTTTGAGATAATTTTCTGATTTTTTATACATCAAACAGAAGATATAAATATCGATTTAGTAAAGAAATGTCAGTTATACAAGTTTGCAGTTCGGAAAATTTTCTAAAATCTCTAGTACTTACAAATCCATATCCACGGCTTTTTCCCGTTTGTCGATCAGTAATAACCACTGCTTCTTCGATTTCGCCAAAACGTTCAAAAAATTTTTTCAAAGTTTCATCAGTTGTATGATATGGAAGTCCACCAACAAATATTTCTAAAATAAGCAGATAGATAAAACAAATCTATCGATAATTAATTGTAATTCTAATAAGATGCTACGTCATCATTTTATCAAGCTAAACTGTATAGTACCATTTATACTTCACAAAATCTATTGAAATATACAGAGTCATTCGATGCTGAATAAGTAAAAAAACAAAAAATTTCAAAATATTTACTTGTAAGCGTTGTATCTTTGTGTAATGACATTTGTATTTTATTTTTAAAATAATAGAAATAAAATAAAAATAAATTATGATATAATAGAATAATAATAACAAGACAATCTGATCATTTAAATTCGGATATACGTCAACGTTGTTGTTGTCGTCTGGCTCTCTTTAACTGAACTTTTTTTTTTCACCTTTTATTTATTCTATGTGAGTGAGTGCGTAAAGTGAGTGAGAAAGACTATAATGAACGCGGAATGTCAACAATATTTCAGAAGTCACACATACACAATAGGAACAAAAAAATAGAAAAAGAAGAAATAAGTTAAATACACTCTTGTGTGAAGTAGTAGTGATTTTCGATGGAACAAAACCAGCTATTTATTTTATTTTTTTAAACGGAGATGATGAAAAATAGTCGTATATTTTCCTTTTTGTAATTTAATTTTTTTCACTTGATTATATGTATATTTTTTTTACATATATACACCTGAAAGAAAAACGAAAAAAAATATATTAATGAAGGGTTTTATCAAGTGCAGACCTTATTGAAATTTGACAAAAAAAAAAAAAGAGTCTCAAGATACAGTTATAGACAGAATGACGTAAAATTGGACCATTGGCTAACTTTTTGAGGGTGTTATAATGCTATTCCATATCACTCTAAACATTTAGATTTCAGTCTAATTATAATGAAATAATTAATGAAATAAACGTTTTTTTTTTAAATGGTAGTAGTTTCTTTGCAAAAAATATTAATTGAAATCCATAGATCTTACCGTGTATTCCGTAATCTAGTCGTTTCTGGTAGCAATAAGAAGATTGTTGAAGTTTTACATATATGACAGCAATGTGTGTGTGTCTAGTTTTCTTTTTTTCTTTCTTGTATTATCAATAAATACGATCTCTATAAAAATCTCCTACGATGTAACTATATGTTAGATATGATTAATACATCTTCAAATAAGAACGAGTTATTATTCCCATAGCTCAGATAGGCTCTTATCAACGCACGTGTGTATGGAAAAAGATTTTTTTATTGGCTGATTTTTCTTCTTCTTTTTCATTTTCCATAAGAAATATTATTTATCTATATATATATGTACAAAAAATATGTATAAGAAAATTGTATTGCTATGAATAACAGCATGAAACCTGTACTAATGATGAAAAATATAAACACACATCTTTCTCTTGTATGTTTCTGTCTCGTTCAGTCGGTTTATTCGGACTAATTTTATGGCATTCTAACTTTTCTACGTGTATGTGTATTTTCTTCTATTTTCCGTTCCAGTTATAGATGATGATATTATACCCATATGTGCTAAAACGATAAATGTTAAGAAAATCTTGTAGATATACATCAGATACATATATAGATAGATATTAATAAAAAATTCATTTAGCTTTTTCAGAACAATTGATCTCTGTTTGGCTGTCTCACAAGTAGATAATCATTGCCTCATTCAATGTTTAACTTATGTATACGTCGAGGTGATCAAATAATGTTCTCAAATACAAAAGGTTAATTCAAACAGTTAGCCATTTGATCTAAAAATAAATTGTTATCGGAAGTTTTCAAACTCCTTGAATCAAATACATCAATGATAATTGTGTTGAGATAACTCCTTGTTTTATGAAGGATAAATTATGAGAAATGGACATGAAGCTTATTGAGAAAATTAAAATTCTCATATTCGGATTGCATTAGCGGTATAAATATTTGTTGAATGTTATGTTACGTCTGATTGTTTTAGAAAAAAATTCAAAATAGACCTTATTAATAGTAATATATATCTTAGGCGGCGAAGTCACAAAGTTCGATAGGCTTGATCCTTACTAAGTTTCAGTGTAACCAGACTCAGTCTCACTAGTTTTCAAGAAAAAAATACATTCTTCTCTGCTGAAGACTTATAGGTTTATGTATTCAGAACAGACAAGCTAAATGAAGCAGAGCTGGGCAACTCAACTCCCGAGTTGAGCGCCTTTTTTTGCGGAGTTGGAGTTTGCTTTTTCAACGACCGGAGTTGAGTTGATGACAGATTTTGTCAACTTCAATTCTGAAAATCCGGTTCAAAATTTCTTCAACTACGACAGGGAGCTGATGTAGTCGACCGTTATACGGACGAATTAAAAAACAGGAAGGAAAAAGAAAGAATAAATTTTAACTCAGAGTTGGAGTTTAGATTTCTTAGCGGAGTTGGAGTAGAGGTGTGCAGGGCATGAGTTTTTTGTATCCTGTACCCTACCCTATAAAAATTTCTCGTAGCCTACCCTATGGACTTCAGACAGTTTGCATCCTACACCCTATCCTACACATAAGAAAGTAGGAGTAAAATACTTAGGGCAATCCAAAAGTAGTGAGGGAGGTACTTTATTTTCTTAAGCAGCGCTTCAAAAACATTTCTCTTTTAATGAACAGATAGAGCGTCTTTCGCTCTATTTTTCTATGCTATTTGATCAATATTCAACTAATATTATAATAAT